TGGGGACTCACTGCAGTGTAATCCTGGTTCACTTTCATTGAACTGCCCATCCCCCCCATGCCCCAGGTATCCCCCGTGTATGTCATCCCCCTATGAGTTTTCTTTCCTCTACAGCCACCTGGCCTATCTACAGAGCCTTCAGTATGTTCCATTCCTGCCCCTGCCTCCAATGGGAGGCTTCCCTTAAGTTCTGGCAAGGTTCCCTGCATGTCGTCTTCCCTGCTAGCTGGTTGACTGACTCCACCGATAGGTAGAAATAGGTATGGTGTAATTCGGTTACAGTATAGAACCAGATTCCACACACACACACACTTCTGATTCTGACTGCACTACATACACAGGCAAGTCCCCTTGTCTTCTTATCACAATATAGGGAGTTGGTTCCCATCTGTCTCCTACTTTCTCTCTCCCTTTCTTTTCCCTTGGCTACTAGCACCCAATTTCCAGGAATCAATGGGGTTTTTCATGTCTGGCAGTCATAGTACTTCTTCTGGTCATGCTTGGCAGCTTCAGATGCCTGTGCATCCCAATGGTATTCTTTCTCTAGTCATTCTCTGAGCTGGGAGATGTATTCCTCCACCTTTAACCCCTCAATTCCTCAGTGGGGGAGACCCAGAGCCAGATCTACCTTCAGCTTTGGGTGCTGGCCAAACATCAAGAAGAATGGGGAAAACCCAGTGGACGCATGTCGAGTGCAGTTGTAGGTGTGAGTCATAGTCCTTCCAGTTTGCCTTTTGCTCTGCACACAGGGTTCCCAGCATATTCATGAGTGTTCGGTTGAACTGCTAAGTAATCCCATTCCCCCGTGGGTGGTAGGGGGTGGTTCTGCTTTTTGAGATCCCCAACAGTTTCCAGAGCTGAACAAGGAGATTACTTTCAAAATTCGTCCCCTGGTCTTCATGTTTCCTTTTGGGGATGCCGTAGCTGCAAATGAACTGTTTCCACATCACCTTGGCCAGGGTAGATGCCCGCTGGTCACGAGTAGGTTATGCATGAACATGGCAACTGAAGTGATCAGTAGTTACAAAGATATTTTCGATGCCCCTCTGGGATGGTTCCAGGGTGAGAAAGTCAATACATACTAGCTCCAGGGGCCTACTGGTATGGACTGAGACAAGTGGAGCTCTGCTTCCAAAGATACCTCCTATTTAGACAGCACCTTGGACAGGAGAGGCACCACTTCTGGACAGTGGACTGCATGCCTGGCCAATAACAGAGTGCAGATGAGGTCCACTGTATGATCAATGTCCATGTGTCCCAGGTCTGGGTGCAGAGCCTCGAACACTTCTCTCTGGAGTTTCTCTGGCAGCACAACTTGTTGGATTTGTTCCTCTGATGGGATTATTGTTTTCATGTAAAAGATCCCTTTTATGAGTTGCAATCGCTTCCATGAGTTAAAATCATATAATCATAGAGCTGGAAGAGACCTTAGGAGTCATCAAGTCCAGCCCCCTGCCCAAGGCAGGACCGATCCCAACTAAATCAACCCAGCCAGGGCTCAAGCTGGGTCACTACAGAAATTCCAATTTCTAATCACAAGAGAACTTTTTGTATTTACTGGAGTTCACTAAAACAAACATGCACATTTGGGGAGGAAACATATGAACACTGACCAAAGTTTTGATTAGTGGCTCAAAATTTTGAGGGCTCTGTTTTCTCTGCTAAACCTACAACACTTTAAAAGGGCCTGATTTTGACAGGACTGGATCTTAGCACTTTCCGAAAGTCAGGCTTCTCTTTGACATCTCAGTTCAGACATCCTGAAATGAAAGACTCCAAAATCAGTAGGCACTTTTGCAAAGCTTGGCCATACCCAGAACAATGTAATGAATTTGTAGAACAAAGGAGTGTATTTCAGAGATCTTTTTTTAAAATGCAGACATAAAAGGGTTGCAGCCACAGACGACCCCTTGGGGGTGCCTTCCGGAGTGCTGACAAAGCCACTGCCACTCGCCTTTCTGCTCTCTGGGGCTTCTCACCACCTGGTCCTGCTGGGTCAGACACTGAATCTCTTCAGGTCTAAAGAAAATGCAGTTTAGGTCACAGTTTCCTGGGATTATACTCCCCAAATGGGATCAGAATTCCACATGAATTATAGAGGTGAGCCCCCATTAGCAATGAAAGGGGAATGTTCACACTGATTGCTCCACCAGGTAACAATTATTTGCACTGGGCTTGATAGTAAATAAAAGTAATTTTATGAAGTACAAGCAGTAGGTACTAACACGGCTACATTTCTATCACTAAGCAGTAGGATGTAAGTGATAATAAGTGTGAGCAGGCAGAGTAAAGTAGATTACAAACTCAAAATAACAGAAAATGCTGAGCTAACTCTACCACTGAAATGTCAGTGCAAATGTATTACAAACTCACCCTAAAACTGTTCCTTTTTAAGCTAAGCCTTCAAACCAGGCAAGTGCCTCTCCTTGGCTACATCTAGACTTCAGTCTTCTTGCGCAAGAAGCTTTTTGGAGAAGAGATCTTCCGCAAAAACTTCTTGGGCAAGAACACGTCCACACTGCTAAAGCACGTCCTGCTAAAGCACGTCGGAAAAGTGATGCACTTTTGCTCAAGAGCATGTCCAGACTGCATGGATGCGCTCTTACAAGAGAGCTGTGATTGACATTAGCAGAATGGTTGTCAGGGCACCGGTGCTTCTTTTGATAGGCTCTTTTTGCACAATGAACCCGTTTGCTGTCCATACAGGCCTTTTTCAATCATAGCCTTTTTCAATTCCTCTTTTTGGCAAGAGGAATAACTATTGTGCAAACCCCCCTCTCTTCCTCTGATTTACTGTACATTTTCTTGCACAAAAATGCACTTGCAGTGTGGATGCTCCGTGAGTTTTTGCACAAAAACTCTGCAGTCTAGATGTAGTCGCTGAGGTCTCTGGTTCATTCCATTGGGTGTGTTACGCCAGCCAGCCAAAGACCAAGACCTGCTAGTTTCCTATTGTTTTCAAGATTCCCACTTTTGCATGGGAAGTTACCTGGCCAGTCCCTACTAGTTAGGTGGGTCATGTGACTTCCTATGACCACCCACTTCGAAGACTTAAGGACAAAAGTCTATTTACACATGATTTGTCCAGACATTGAGGCATTCCAGCATTGGAAACACCCTTGATGGTTTTCCTTTGCACATTTAAAACCCTAAACCATTCCCTACTCCATGGGTATGTCTTGACTGCATCCCTCTGTTGGCACAGAGATGCAGATTAGGCAGGTTGACATTGCAAATGATAAAAGGATTTAAATATCCCATGCCTAATTTGCCAACTCAGCACTGTGTCGTCAAAAAGCGGCAGTCTAGAAGGGGATCTGTTGAGAAAGAAAACTTTTTTCGACAAATCCTGTAAACCTCCTTACAGGATGCATAAGGGATCTGTGTACAATATGTTTATTTTAACATACAAGAATAATACATACACAAAAGTAAGATCATAGAATCATAGAACACTAAAACTGGAAGGGTCATCGAGTCCAGTGCTCTGCCCTTACGGCAGGACCAAGCTCTTTCTAGAGCATACCTGACAGAGTCTGTCTGACCTGCTCTTTAATATCTCCAGAGATGGAGCTTCCACAACCTCCCTGGGCAATTTATTCCAGTGTTTGACCACTCTGATAAGTGGTAAAGGAAGCCGATGGGAGATGTGCTCTGTGGACACAACTGTGGCTCGGTTAAATGGAAGTCGACTCCAGCTATGTATTTTGTGTAGCTGGAGTTGTGAACCCTAACCCGACCTGCCTGGTCTCATGTTGACTTGGCCTCTGAGAGCCATAGCTTGGAGAAATCAATTTAACTGCCACAGATTTGCAAGTAACCTAAGGAAACTTAATCTTAGCATTGTAACTTTTAAATGTGCAAAAATCCAAGGCTGTAAGTTAAATGCCTTGTAGACACGGCCTTTCCTAGTATTTAGGCATTGCTACACTCAGCGTTGCTGTGTCTAATTGGTTTCAAGGCATAAGTCTTTTTTTCAAATAAGATTTAAGCACGTAGAAGCCTAAATGCCATTGGCAGAAAAGCTACAAAAAGACATCAAACAATTTAGCAAATGGCCATTTTCGTGGCCACATCTTGGTGGGGTTGTAAGTTTGCTTTAAAAGTATCACAGTAGACTACAGCAGTCAGGCCAGGCTAATACTTGGTGTAACTCCAGGAAGGTCGATAGAGTCTTGCCGGCTTGCCCTTTGCCTGAATTTTAACCCAGCAGGGTCTGCAACTGTGTTTTTACTACCATGGAAGCTACATGTGAGCTACTGGACGTTGACCTGGGAGCTGACTAGCTCTCCCAGCACCAGCGAAAGGGCCAAACGCATCTCTCAGTCACCTCTCAATGCTGCTTGTTCCACTGGTGCTAAGGGAGAGGCGCTGTTACAGATGCAAGCTGAGAGCTGTAACGTGTGTAAACCCAGTCAGCCAGGCTGAAATTAATGGAATTAATCCATTCGAAAAACAGTGTAGCTGAATGTAAAAACTAGATTAGCACATTTAAATTATTCAAATAGACTTTGTTAATAAAGAACAGCGGTTACAGAGTTTATTCGTGCTTTGTATGAACGGGCGTCAGTGGAGAGGGTGCGGGTGCTGAGAAGCTGAGGTGCGAGGTTTGGGAAGCTGTTGGGTTTGGTTGCACTGAGACTCTGTCAGTGGCTGTTAGTGACTGAGGAAGATCAGAAGCCCCAAATCGCTTTCTTGTACTTGATGCAAGCAGCTTCCACGGTTCCCAGCCTGGTTCTCTTATTGACTCCAATGTAACCTCTCACTTTCTGCTCAGTTAAATGGGGCTCCAGGTACATCTCATTGGTGTAATACCAGCCCCCGTTCTCCTGCACCATTCTCTGGATCACTTCCACCAGCTCCGAAACCTGCTCCGTCTGCTCAGTTGCTTTGTTGTTGAAAGCGCAGTAGCGGTTCCTGCACGCCTGAATCAGCGCCTGAAGATCTTTGTTATCTGAGTGTCTCACATAGTCGTGCAGGGAGCCTACCGCTAGATCTTCTTTCCGGGTGAACAGGACGACCGTGTGCCTCATGGCTCCATCTCCAAAGATCTCCCAGACTCGCTTCACGGCTTCCTTGTCTTCATCAGTGTAACGGCCCAGCTGGGTCACCAGCACCAGAGCGTGGGGGCCTGGGGCAGAGAGTGCGACACAGTGACTGATCTCACTACATGTCACTGTATCACACACCTTTCGGTCAAAGATGGCAGGTGTATCAATCACCACGAGTTCCCTCCCGTTCCAGGTCCTTTGCCCCTTTTCACAAGTCAGAGTCACTGGTGTCGCCCGGAGTTTGGACTCAAATGTTCGTTCGCCAAGGATGGTGTTTCCCGTGGCACTTTTCCCAGCACCGGTTTTGCCAACGAGGATGATTCTGAGCTCTGATCTCCTGCTGTTGTCTGCGGGTTGGACAGTCAAAGCATCATTGCACAGATAGAAGATACAAGTCCTACCCATGTACTATTTATATACCTGCTAATTAATGCACACAGCGTACCCTGGGGCCGAGAGGCCCAGAATAACTAATGTCCATCCCATCCTACATCTCTGCTTGTCTCTGTCCCCATGGATTTCCTGACAATGACCAAACCTGAGCCCCTTCTCCTCTCTCCTGCATCTTCTCCTCTTCCATCTTCCTCTGACACTTTTCTCAACACCCCCATTCTTGCCACCCCTCAGCCCTGCAATCTGGGGAAAATTGTTGAGCCCTCTCTCACCTTCACCCTGAGTATGTCGGCCACATCCAAATCCACCCTGTTCTTCCCCCTCAGCCCCTCCAGGAGCTTCCTTCCCTCTCCAGCCCGACCTCAGAGTTCCTTCCCAGAGCCCATGTGTTCTGCCTGGATTATGCACCGTTCTCCTCTCTGGCCTCCCCAACACGCCCCAGGGCCTCTGTCCAGTCACAACACGGCCCCTGAATGTGTCTTCCTCCCCGTTTGACTGAGCCAACAGGGCCGGTTCTTACACCGCACTCCTCACTGTCCAGCCAGAGCACCTGTCTCTGGCGGGACACAGATAAGCTACGAGACCAGAGCTAATATTCTTTGACCTGGATCTGAGTGTCAGACATGAACACTATGAACATCCAAAGCATCCCTTGTTCTGCTCAGGCCACGTCCTCCTCTGGACAGAGCTTGGGGCTCTCAGACCTCTGAGCAGTTCCTTATTTCACCAGCGTATTTCTGCTCCTTCTCGCTGCCTTTCAGAAATGGCTGCAGAACCCCGCCCCCTCATTGCCCTTCTCCCCCGCCAGCCCCTGCGCTGTCCCAGCCCTTCCTCTGCACCAGCGCTTTTCACATGAGGTTTTCAGAGTGTTGCACGACTGCCCTTGGCCCTCCTCTTTCAGCCCCAGCTCAGGGCAGGGCCTTGCTGGGCTCCCTGCCAAACCCCTGCCATGTCCACGCCAAAGGCTGCACCCAGGGAGCCAGGCCGTATTGGCCTCAGATTGCCTCCTGCTCTCCCCTCGCACTGTGGAGCAGGGCAAACAGGCCAGCCCACCTCACACATGTTTGTTTGCACGGTGCAGGGCTGGAGTTTGCCCAGCTTGGCAGAAATGCCCAAGGGAGCTGGGGATGGGGTGTGAGTGGACTGGAACAAGGCCCTGCTCTGCCTTCCTTCTCGTCCCCTTTCTCAAAAGCTGCAGGGGCTGGTACAGGTGCAGTTCCTGCATCAGCCCAGTGTACTGACGGAATGACAGACCCTGGGAAAGGTTTACTCTGTGGGGGTTGTTGCTGTAGAAGGCAAAGTTACATGGGGCACGTCACTGCCAGCCCCCTGGAACGGCCACCATGCTGGAGCCTCTACATGGTGCTGGGCGACCAACGGTGCCCTCAGAAACTCCTCGGTCCCTGAGAGCTCATGGGGCTCACTTGTCTACACCAGGATGGAATAGGGCCCCTGGTGTCCTTCTTACCAGCATCTCCTCTCGGCATCTGCCCGTCCATCTCGCTCTGAAAGAGGTGCAGTAAAACGTGTTATTTAAACACATGCATTAGCCAAGGAACTCAGCAGATCGAGAAATACCCGGCTAGACAAATCCAGGGATATAAACAATGGGCAGTAACCAGCACAAGTGGTGCTACCTGTGTGATCCTGAGTGAGACAGGAGTTTCAGAGCAAGGCACCTTGAGATTTCATGTTTAACCATGGTCAGCACATCTGCTTAGCTCTGAGCACTGGGGGAGTTCTACTGACGTCCAGAGAGTGACTTAGGCGCCGTACGCACACGTGTGTTGGCTGCCATAGGCCACAACAGCTGCTCTAAGTACAACTAGCTCAGAAAATCAGTCCTGTTACTGCAGCCTCGTGCACACAAATGTTTTCATCAGCCATCGAGATTCTGGATTCGAGAACTGAGTCAGCAGTTTGACTTGGTCCATGAGGCAGAGGAGATGCAGCTTGTGCTTCAGCACCGACTCGGCCTTTGCGTTCCCACTGGTATGAGCCAGGTGTCAGTTCTTATTCAGACAAAACCAATATGGGGAGAAAATGTCCGTAATGGAGCTTGTCAAACTGTTACTGGTGCATCGCCTTTCCCCTGGACAATGCAAAATTTAATCGACTAAAACATATTGCTAATTTGAATTGAATTTGCCAATGTGTTGGCCTGGAAGAAAGTTCAGAAAAAGTTGAAATATTTCAAGTCAAGTCAAGTCATTCTATAAGAAATGTTTAGATTTTCTCTTCAAAATACCTTTTCTTTTTGAAATTGGCCTTGAAGTTTAAAAAATCCCAAATTAAACAAAACACTGTGTTGGGTCGAACAAAACATTTTAACCCAACATTTTTTCCTTTTGCCGTTTGCCACAGAAATTGGATTTTCCCCCAGTTTGATGTGATTTGTTTAAAAAAATTCAATCCTGCCACTGAACAAAAACCCTGGTTACTTGCACAGCTCCAGTCACATCCTCAGGACTGAACATCGTGTGTGTGTTGGTACCGCACTGAGCAACCTGTTTGAAACTGGGAGAGATGAACAGCTGCAAATTCATTCTTATCCCCACTCTGCCCCCTCGTGCAACTGAGCACTGCTGTCTGGGGAAAACCTTCCCGGTATCTCAGCCAAACCCTTGGTGGAGGCCACTGGACTGAAGAGAACAATTTCCACCGGCAAAACCAATGTGCTCAGTTGTGCCGACTCCAGACAACCCAGCATAGGGGCAGGTCCCTCCCTTCCTCCCTCTCCTTTCCCTCCTCGTCTCTCCTCCCTCATCTCTCCTCCCTCCCTCCCTCTCTCCCCCCTTTTCTTTCTCCCTTCTCCCCTCCTCTCCCCCTTCTTCTCTCCCTCCCTCCCTCCCTCCCTCCCTCAGACATTGGCCAATGTTGGAGATAGGGCATTGTTTAAGATGACACTTGGCTCTATGGGGAGGCAGGTTAATTGGGCAGGTCCCAATGAGTAAGGGGCCTGGTGGAAAGGTGCATCTTTGACACCACTTTGCCCCAAGCGCTGCTTGCTGGAGTGACCAACTGGGGGAAATGACGTGGAAACGTTCACCTGGCTCTGCACTTACTGTCTGTCTGCAGCTCTGGGCCAGGCCACTCGAAATGCTGCTGCAGGCTCCTCTTTGCCCGTCTCTGAAATCCCAGGGATGCCACCCTTCGAACGCATCCTGCTCACATGCCTTGGCTTCATCCCCAGGGACCTTTGAAACTCGCCCCTTCCTCTTGTGCCCTGTGGCCTCAGCCAGCCTCAGCAGCGTCCTTCCCCCTAGAGGAGCCTTTGGTGCATTTTCCCAGCCCTCTCTCCCAGTGGCATTGGCCCCATCAGCAGACGCCGTCTCCAGTCCCATCCCACCAAGGTGCCCACAGGCAGGTCGCAAAGAGGGCAAAGGGGGCAGGTGCCACCAACTGAAAAGGGCCTGGGGCTCCCAACTTCTGCTACTGCTACTGGGGCAGAGGGGGCAGCCAGAGCCCTGAGTCTGTAAATTGCTGCCAGAGCCCAGCTTGGTGCTTCCCAGGTAGGGCTAAGAGCTGGAGGAGGGTGTGTGTGTGACAATCCAGAAGTCACTATGGACTGGTAGAGGGTGTGCGTATGTGTGTGTGTGTGCCAGTGTGATGCACTCCAAGTGGTGCTAGAGGAGTAGCTGAGCCTCTAGCTCTCATTTTTGGAAAATCATGGGAGACAGGAGAGATTCCAGAAGACTGGAAAAGGGCAAATCTAGTGCCCATCTATAAAAAGGGGAATAAGAACAACCCAGGAAACTACAGACCAGTTAATTTAACTTATGTGCCAGGGAAGATAATGGAGCAAGTAATTAAGGAAATCATCTGTAAACACTTGGAAGGATGGCAAGGTGATAGGGAACAGCCAGCATGGATTTGTAAAGAACAAATCATGTCAAACCAATTGTATAGCTTTCTCTGATAGGATAACGAGTCTTGTGGATAAGGGAGAAGCGGTGGTGTGGTATACCTAGACTTTAGTAAGGCATTTGATACGGTCTCGCATGATATTCTTATCAATAAACTAGGCAAATACAACTTAGATGGGGCTACTATAAGGTGGGTGCATAACTGGCTGGATAACCGTACTCAGAGAGTAGTTATTAATGGTTCACAATCCTGCTGGAAAGGCATAACAAGTGGGGTTCCACAGCTAGAACAAGTCTACCACACCGAACGAAAGAGCAGACAATTACATGAAAGGGAAAAAAGGTGGCTTGGCAGAGAATTTGCTTCCGGACAAAAACAAGAGACTGCGGTGGTTAAAGAAGAACGGGAGGCATACCTGTGCATAAACCAATTCACCAGAAACCTTCTGAACAACCAGTTCAGTCACATGTCCTTACAGGGACAAGCACCTTAATGACGGTAGCCCTGACATTTTATTTTGCAGACGATTCTACTTGTGGAAGGGCTGCTGGAGTGAAACTTGAGGCCCAAGCAGGAGGAAAGTTTGATTTTCTAGTACCAAATAGAAAAACAATAATAGAACAAAAAGGCTAAAAGATGCCTCAGAGCAGGGATAGGGTCTAGAGTGACTTAGACAAATTGGAGGATTGGGCCACAAGAAATCTGATGAGGTTCAACAAGGACAAGTGTAGAGTCCTGCACTTGGTATGGAAGAATCCCAAGCATAGTTATGGGGTGGGGACTGACTGGCTAAGTAGCAGTTCTGTAGAAAGGACCTGGGGGTTACAGTGGATGAGAAGCTGGAGATGAGTCGACATTGTGCCCTTGTAGCCAAGAAGGCTAATGGCATATTAGATTGCATTAGGAGGAGCATTGCCAGCAGATCCAGAGATGTGATTTCCTCTTTACTTGGCTATAGTGCCCAGGGCTGGTACTTACCCGGGCAGTTGTTCCCAGCGATTGATAGGCGGCCATTCCTCCTCTGAAATGGGGATTGGACTCGGCGTCTCCTGAAAAATCAGTGATTGTAGTCACTGCACGACAGCCAGATCCCAGCCGGTCGGTGTCCCCTGGTTCCTGTGCTTTGCCTGTCAGTTGTGGTTTGGTGCAGAGGGTGTCATGGGTATGTGTGACACATGACCTGAGTGGAGGACGCTGGAGATACGTCTGCACCACATGCTTCTTGCAAAAAAAGCCTTTTGCGCAAGAGTTTTTGAACAAAACCTTATTGCGCAAGAGCACGTCTACACTTCAACACACATCGCAAAAGTGATGTGCTTTTGCACAAGAGAGCGTCCACACTGTATGGACACTCTTGCACAAGAAAGCTCTGATGGCCATGCACAGAATAGCCATCAGAGCACCTGTGCTTTTTCCCTCTGGACGTCCACACTTGCCTTTTTGCACAAGAACTGTTCTGCGAATGGAGGTATGTCTTGTAAACGGAGGTGGAGTTATGTCTTGTAAACAGAGGTTTACCTAAGACAGAAAAAGCCCTCTGTTCTGCTGTTTTACTCTTGATTTCCTTGGTTCTGCGAATGGAGGTATGTCTTGTAAACGGAGGTTTACCTAAGACAGAAAAAGCCCTCTGTTCTGCTGTTTTACTCTTGATTTCCTTGCACAAAGTGCATTTGAGGTGTGGACGCTCCACGGGTTTTTGCGCAAAACCCTTGCAGTGTAGACGTAGCCTGCGAGAGATGCTCAGAGGCAGACCCTGCAACACATGCCCGGGGGAGTTAGGCCCCTCGTGGACACTGAAGAGCGATGTCCTTACTCCTGCAACTGGAGCGGTGAGCATGGGGAGACTGGGCGGGGGTGGGGAAGCCCATTGGCTGTGTCTGTGGCTTTGCCGGGTGCATGTAAAGCAAGAAAGGGGAGTTCCTGGAGCACCACTGACAGGGAGCTAAGTCTCAGTGACCCAGCAGAGCCTGGGCTAGTGGATTGAGCTGTAGGACCAGGGCCTAAGGCCTCAATGCACAAAGGGGCCGAGGGTCGTAACACCTCACGTGTAGGCCTCTTGCTATTCCCTGGCACCCCACATGCCGGATTAGGTGTGTGACGGACCGGGCCGTGTCTGGGCACAGCTGAGGGCGTCCGCTCAGGGCGAATTGCTCAAATCCGGGGCTCCTTACAGCCCCCCCCGACTGGTGACCTCTCCAAATAGGCCACAAACCAGTCCCACAGAGCGCTTCAGCTGCCTTCCTCCCCAGCCAGGCAGCTGCCTCCGCCCAGCTCCAGTGAAATGGGAGGAGGACAATGGCTCCCTCACAACCCCCCCCCAGAGGTCGGACACTCACCAGGAGGTGGGAGACACGAGCAGATGGCCTGCCCTGTGCCTGAGCGGATGCGGGTAGAACCAGGGCTCAGGGAGAGCCCTGCATCACCGGGTTGGTCCAACTCAC